CAGCATGAGGCAGCCCATCATCCTGAGTGGCAAGCTCTCGAGCCGCGACCTCGGGCGCATTCAAGAAAGACTCCCAAGAAAAGACGGCTGCTTGATGAGCCGTAAGTGGCAGCCAGGTCCAGGCTTCGCGAGGTGTGCCAGGGATGGCAGCTGGAAATGGCGCATGCCGAGGCTCCGCATTGTCCAGGCAAACCAAAAAGCGTTCTTTGCACGCGGCTGTGTGGTTGCCCTGCAGCTGCCTATCCAGTGCGATGATTTTGCTTGGGTGGGCATTGCCAAGGACGGACAGGGACACTGTCTTTGCACGCGCGGCACAGTAGGTGGTGCTCGTGCGAGTGCCTCGTTTGGTCCGTCCAGATTGCAACAAGGCGTTGAGCGTGCTTGCATTGAGTGAAGCGGTCTTTCCTCCCTCTCCCTTGGTGCTGCTGAGAAGGCCCAACCCATCGAGGAACTCATACGCTTCATCCAGGTTGAAACCGTTCCCGAACCATAGGCGTGAGGGGTAGCGCCTGCCAGACATCTTCCTGTCACCTGCAACAAAGAACCCCCAACACTTTCTGGCTCGCTGGGCGCGCTAGATTACAAGCTGGGGCGACGGACTGGATCACAGGTTCAAGCAGGCAGGTGGCCTCGCTGCCATTCCAACTGCGGAAACTCTGAAGAGCAGCGGAAAAAGAACTCCGTGAACGTGAAGCTCTGCAAAGAAATGCTCTTTACAACGACCTCCGTGCGCTCATGCCTTGGTAAGTTGTTATTCGCACCCGCTATAACACCGGTGCATTCCAAAGAGCTGCTACCCCGTGCAGATAAGGCGCTCCTCATCCTGCCTCGCAGCCCCAGCCTCCTGGTTGAGGCCCTCTGCCAGCTGCGCCGCATGCTCAGCTAAGATGTCGTCACATGTGTCGAGCATCTCCTCTGCCACCGCCCAGAGGCGGCTCTTGCCTTTCTGCGCCTGGGCAACCTGCAGCATGATGCACACTAAAGGGGATGCTTTCTGGCTCCACAGCTGGACTTTGGCGCCATTTGTTAGAGCGGCCATGGAAGCGGTAACCATGCACAAGGAGGCAAAGGCGCCCTGACAAGTCGAGGCTTGGATGGGCGTGATGAATTCCCGGATTTTGTCCGGGACGTGGTCATCCAAAGAAAAGTTCTGGTCGACCACTGCCTGGGCCCGGGTCATCAGGTACCGCACCTGCTGCTCAGTGAGTTCGTCCTCTGCTGAGCGTGGCATTGGGTCGCGCTATAAGCGGAGCCGGTCTAGCTCTGGGATCGGTGGCTTGAACCTACGGAGAGCCTCTCAATTTGAAGCAAGTCAGGCAGAGCGAAAGGCATAGATTGTGCAGCGCAGGACAGGGACACAGGCTGATGCATGCAACGTATCGATTTTATACCGCTTTGGCCTCGGGAGCCTGAGAATAGTAGCACCTTGCAGGGCCAAGCAGCTATAGCAGGCCGGCGGTCTCACCTGAGATCCAACACACGAGCATGCGCAAGAGGACACATCGTGCACCTACATGTTCGTATCTCCGTGATGTCATGGCATGCAGTACATGCCATGTTGAACGGGCAGGGATGAAGCTGACACCACCTCTGTAGACGCAAGAAGGCCCTGGGCCCCCGGCTCTGTTCTTCGCCGCTTTCCTCGCCTCGGCCGAGGAATGAATCAAAAAGGATGCCCCGAACGAACATCGCAGCATCAGAGTGCGCTTGCAAGAGAAGGATAGATTGAGTCAAGGATCCTCTCTGCAACCTGAGCCTTATCGCGGGCAATCTGCAGCAACTTGATGTTGTGAATGTCGGCCATTTCTGCTGCGAAGAATTTAGCCAAATATGGCCCCATATGGTGTATGGTGTGCCCGAATGGCGAAAAATTGTGGTTCACTGACTCAGCCATGGACGTGGGAAAGTTATCGAGCACTGCCTGATTCTGCGGGAGTCCAGGAAGGCAGTTCTCCTTGCACCACTGGCCCACATGAGCAGTCGAGTGGAACTCATCGACGACAAAACGCAGATTTGCCAGGCGTTGGCTGAGGGCCGAAGTCCCTTTTTGTAATGCCGCCATCTGTGCAAGGTGACATGCATCATCGTGCACGATGCACCGCAAGTCTGGCATCCGATCGGCGACAACGCTCAAGAAGCGGTACCGCTGGGAGAGGGACTCGGCACCGATGATTTCATCGATGTGCACCACAAGGCCACTCTCGCTGATCGCCATGAGGAAGCCGGCCGTGCGGGCCGCCGCCGCCACATGATCCTGCAGCAAACACAACTACGCGGAAAAGCAGGCAGCATGTAGACATGTGTGATAGGAACAGCTTCAGATGATCCAGCACAATCCTCAGTCTCTTTGTGGGTCTTACACGCAGAAGAACTGCGGGGACCCGCGGAGCTCCACGAAGACAGGAAAGAGCGCTGCCTACGCGGCTGCCACCTCATTGCTCGTTGGCGAGCCCCATTGTCCCGGCGAAGGGATATGCGATCATGCGCTCTGCGCGCGAAATAGTTCTGCAATTGTTCCTGACACAGACATTCAGGCAGAGAAGAGAGGAGGAGCAAGTGGAGGAGGGCACTCGCATGTTACGGCTCACGGAAGATTTCTACCTAATAAGTGCACCGGTCGACTGCGAAGGGAGGCTCTGTCTTGCTTAATTGCCCATGTTGAACGCTAGTGCGGGCGCGCCTCTGCGACGGTGCAAGCGGGCTGCCATCCGTACGTTCCTTGCATGCGCACCTCCAGATGACACACGTCATCTTCGTGGTGCAAAGCACGCTTCAAGCGGTGCGCTCCGATCTGCTCTGCTCGATGCTCCTGGCTTTTATCACGTGCAGCCGCGTGCTTGCGGCACAGAGTGTCCCGACCGTGAGGTCGGCAGGCACAGCCGCGAAGAAGGAAGTGGCCAGTTTGGGGAAGCGGCAGAACCTGGAAAAGTGCATATATAGACCTAGAAGAGTGGATCCAAGGCAAGCTTAGAGT